ACCGTTTGATATTTATTAAAGACTCACCCCATCCCTGACACTAAGCAAAATACTGCTCAAAATACTGAGGAACAGCCGCATCAGACTCACCAGGGAAGCTAAACGGTAAGAAAACGAATCGCAGGCCCCACCCGACCTACAAAATCGGAATCTTCAAGATCCCCACGGGATCCGCACGCACACTGAAGTGGGAGGAGGTGCATCTCGCTACACTCTCACCACAGGCCTGTGAGACAAGCACTGTAATTCTCTCTGGCTCACAGCTCAAAAACACAGGTTCGGGTAAGCCGCTCGCCAGGTCACAGAACTCCGGGGCGGTTGGGGTCGCCAAGGTTCTCTCCAGAGCCGGGCCTGTGAGAAGCGCCCGTCACACCCACGGAGAAGTGCGGGGCGGCACGGCTTCTGCGCGCGCGGGCCTCGGGCCGACCAGGAGGCGCGGGCCACGGGCCAGGTTTGCACGGAGAGGCCGGTGCGCCCTTCTACCCAGCCGCCGCCACTCACCTGGGCCCGGCCAGCACGGACACCACAATCACAGACCACAGACCCCGCGGAGCGCGGCAGCACGGCGACTCCTCCAGGTACACCTGCCTCTCACAGCCCTACTTCCGGCCAACTGCCCGCTACTTCCGGTTGGTACGCGAAGGACGGGTGCGGCCGAGGCTCAAAAGACTGTTAGCGTTTTTCAAGGACGTTTTCCACTGACATTTTCCATTAAAGGACGATGTTGAGGAATCGGGGGAATGTAGAACTTGGCTGATGCTAAAGAACTTGTCTACCAGCTCCTCGGGATAAGCCAAAGACACACCACTCTGAAAGTAATTTAATAGCTAAGACCCAGGTTCGAATCCCGACCACTCCTCAGGGTGTTAAGTCTTGGGAAAAATCACATAAACTCTCTAAGCCTAATTTCTTGTCTATACAATGAGGAAAATGATCCATTTAAAATAAATGTAATTATAAAGTTCTCCCAAGAGAAGAGTTAGTGATGGATAGACGGAGAAACGGATGTGAGGAGCTGGAGCTTGAGGAGGGCAGTCCTATGACGGAGGAGTCAGGGTGGTCCTCCACCTTCCTAAGTAGAAAGCTCATACCTGAGACGGTATGGGAAAAACTAGGCAAGGAAGAGTCTCCATCGAGATCTTTCAGGAGGGCCTGGCCCTAGACAGCCTTTCCTGGGGGCACTAGAGAGCTGCTGGTCAGCATCATCATACCTTGTCAGTGCCTTGGCTGCTCATCCATTCATTCATTCATTCATTCATTCAAGAAAGAGGAAGCGCCGGGACCGGTTTGGCTCAGTGGATAGAGCGTCGGCTTGGGGACTGAAGGGCCCCGGGTTCGATTCCGGTCAGGGGCATGTACCTTGGTTGCGGGCACATCCCCGGTAGGGGGTGTGCAAGAGGCAGCTGATCGATGACTCTCTCTCATCGATGTTTCTAGCTCTCTATCTCTCTTCCTTCCTCTCTGTATAAAAATCAATAAAATATATTAAAAAAAAAAAAAAGAAAGAAAGAGGAAGGGAGAGGGAAAGAGATAGGAACATCAATGATGAGAAAGAATTATTGATCTACTGCCTCCTACAGTGGGGATCCACACTGGGGATTGAGCCTGCAACCTGGCTATGTGCCCTGACTGGGAATGGAACTATGACCTCCCGGTTCATAGGTCCAGGCTCAACCACTGAGCCATGCCAGCCAGGCTCATCCACTCATCTTAAGGGCTACAAAGGAGACCCAAGATCTTGTCCATGAGGCAAAACTAATGTAGGCAGGATACTTCACTGCAAGGGAAGAGGTGGACAAGCCTGGCATTCCAACTCCTGAGCTCTGCAGAGGGCACTGTTTGCCTGGGTATGAACATTTGGGGCCTCAGACCACTGACACCACTGCTCAGGGAGGTACTCTCACTTGGGCCAGATCAGGGCACACAGTTAATTGTTGATTATGATTCTGTCTTTGTCTGTAGAACCCAGAGAGAGCAGAGGGCTCATCCCCAGGGGATGGACCACACACATTACTCAGAGGCAGCCAAGGCAATCCTATTGTTCCTTGACAAATACTCAATGTCCCAGCCTCACTTAAAATTGAAAGAATTTTAATTTTTGGCAAACAAAATTTAAAGGAATACATGCTAGTAGGGTTCTGGGAAAGCTTTTACTTTCATGATAAAGTAGTGCTGTCTCAATGCCTTCTTGGAGCTGTGGCAGACACCTGTGGCATGGTGTAAACAGCAATAATGTGAAAGTAAGAGGATGAACAGTCTAAGTCCTTGATGAACCAATACCTATGACACGTAGAATGCCTACCAGACTTGTCAGGTTAGAAAAAATAAGCCTGTAATTCAGCTTGGGTTGCTTGTAGCATAATAGTCTTTTTTAAAAATCTGAACTATGGCATCTCTTTAAAAAAATTATATATATATATATATATATATATATATATATATATATATATAATTTTTTAAAATTTTTATTTTAGAGAGAGAGGGAGAGAAACACTGACAAAACATCCATAAGCTGCCTCCTGCACGCCCCCTATTGGAGATCAAGCCTGCAATCCAGGCATGGGAATCTACTGGCAACCTCAGTGCATGGGACAACCCTCAAACAACTGAGTCATTCTGGCCAGGGCGCCTAATACATTCTTGATTGGGGGGAGGGGGGTAATAAGGGTGCCAAAAAAATTATCATAAAAGACATCACTATGAACAATAAAGATTTATTAATTTAAAAAAATAAAGGTTACTTTGGTGATCAGGAAAAAAAATAAAAGACATCACTTAACCTCAAAGAATGACTCCCTTCCTGCAGCACACTTGGGTCATTTCTGCCTCACTAATTACAAACTGGTTCTTAGACTTCATTAATACGTATTCTCCCCTCAAACATCAGCCCATTGCTATAAGGTGGCTCAGGCCACACAGGCTGCGTCTAGCTATCCTGCATCATCTCTTTTTGGCCAGCAGCCTGGTGTCCAGATTTTGAACTGGAACCAGCTTGAAACTCTGAAGAGAATGCCCCACTGGCCAGAACTATGGGACTACGACTCCTCCTGGGCAACATGGAGGAGCGTGGACTTTGAGCCAACCTCTCGGCATGGTCCAGTGAACACGTCTATGGCTCTTCTGGGATATGTTTGCCCCAGCTTTGCCCTCCACACCCCTTCACCTGCAAAGACACAAAGAGGTCAAAGAATGCCGCTCAAGAGGCTTTCTCCATTTTATTTCTTTGGGAAAAGAAAACAAAGTCTTTCCATCACATATGGTAGAGATATATATTTATATATATATATATATTTATATTTATATATAATTTATTTTGTAGTTGGAAGTCCCAAAGCTGAGTCTGTTAATATATTTTTTTTTATTTTTAAAAATTTTTTTTCTCCTACTAATGCCTTCTCTTCCCCCTGCCCCTCTGGCCCAGGCCCAGATTCTGGGACAAGTACACTGAGGGGTGAGTGGAATCGGCAGTGATTGCCAGAATGGCCCCCCAACCCAGAGATCTGGTGAGGGCAACAGGAAAGGGCTGTGCAAAGAGAGAGAGGCCACCCGGAGAGGCACTCCTGATTTCATAGGGGATGCACAGCTTGTTAAACAGTCACCAGTCATGGGAGGAGGCTGGTCAGGGGTTAGAGGACTTGCTCACAGTAGTTGCCAGCTCTCTCCACCCGGTCCCCAAACCTAGTCTTGGGGGCGGGAGGAAGAGAGTGAAAAAGAGAGAAATACAAGGGCTAAGGGCCAAGCCTCCTCCACTTTTTATTGCTGGTGAATTAGAAATTTGCCTTTCCCTTCCTGCCTTGGGGAGATGGACTCTCAGAGGGTCCACAGAGGAGGAAGTCACGTTGGCTGCCCCAACCCCATGGATGGCCATGGCAGGCCTTCCCTGGGCTACCTCAGGGCCCTGGGAACCCAAACGTCAGCCTTGTCGTTCAAGGGCAATCACACCCCCTGCCCCCAAAACAAGGGCCTCAGGCTCAGGTTTGGGCCCAGTGGAGCTTGGAAGTGGGCAGTGAGTGCACCAAATATCAAGCAGAAATTTCTACTGGAAGAGAAGGTGAGTTTTGAGGGAAGAGGTGATAATGATGTTCTGAGCTGAAAGCAGGAGGCTGGGGGAATGGAGTGGGAAAGACATCACAGACACTCGTGACCTCAGGACTGGGTGAGGGAGTGTCTGAGAGGCAGGTAGCACTTAATAGCTGTAGTTATTATAGAACCAGACAGTGGCCCTGTGTGTGGGGCAAGCCAATCGGGTGAGGCTATTGCCCTTGGAGTGTGGCCTGGAGGGGGTGAGGGGAGGGAGTGCTTAGAAGCCTCCAGGTGACCCTTCCAGGAACAGGAGGGCAAATCTTTCCTGGACCCACTGGGCCTCCAGCCCCAGCCCTACCCTCCCTCAACGCACACTTATGGGCACACACTCAGACCAAGCCAGGCTCTGAGGCCTGAGCCCAAGAGACCTTGGTGGGGAGGGGCTGGGCAGGTAGCCCTCTCAACCGCAGGCAGGCCATCTGCTCCCACTTGTCCTGCCCATCTGCCCATGAAGGGAGAATAGTGCAGGAAGGAGAGCGACCAGGAGCCCAAGGCCTATCAGTTTCAGCAGACCCCCTCAGGTTACATGGCCTAGGAGGCGAGCACAGCAAACATTACTGGACACAGAGTAGCCAACCCCACGAGGGGCTGGGGCACCTCAGGGCACACAGGCCTGCCACCTCCATCTCCAAGGGAGTGCCAACAAAGGGAGCCCGGGTCCCTAATCCCCGCTCGCTCGCTTTGCCCTCTCCCTGTTCCCTCCTTGGGAGGAAGGCCCAGTGGGTTGCCCAGAGGGACAGCAGTAGAGCTAGGAGGGCACTCTGTGCAGGAAAGGAAGGGACCTGGTCACAGCTGCTTTGAGAACCTCTTTGGTCTGGGGATACGGGAAACCTGGGGAAGAGAGATGGTGGGAGGGGACATGGGGGCTCTGGCCTTTGACGGGGCATTTGTCAAAAGTCCCAAGCCCAGATCAGGGATCAGATTTCTGTGGACTCGATGCGCTCCAGGCGGGACGGGGTCCAGGCTTTCTTCTCCTCGCCATGTTGGGGGGTGGGTGTGCTGGCACCCCCGGCGGCCCCGCGTTCACGCAGCCGCCGCTCCAGCTGCTGGTTGCGCTGGTACATGTCCACGTAGCTCAGCTGCAGCTGCTTCTGGTACTCGATGACCTTCTCCTTCTCCTCCAGCCACACGCGGCGCTCCTCCGCGAAGCTGGCCCCCTGGCGCTCCCGGGCTCGCCGCTCGGCCGCCAGCTCGGCCTGCAGCCGCCCCACCTCCCGCCGCAGGGCCCGCGTCCCGCTCTCCCCACCGGCGTCCACCTCCCCGTCCAGGGAGACGGAGGAGGCGGCGGCGGCCACACCCGCCTGCCGGCGCATCTTGGCCTCATCGCTCTCGCAGGAGGCCAGCGCGTCCTGCGGCTCGGCGGCGGCGGGGTCCGCGGGGGTCAGCGCCGGCTTGACGGCGGGCAGCTCCCCCTCCGCCAGCTCCAGGCTGGCCTGCTTGCTGCTGAAGGAGTCCCTCAGGCTGAGCAGCTGCTCCTCCTTCTCCCGCAGCGAGGCCCGGCCCTCCCGCAGCTGGGAGCGCAGCCCCACGATCTCACTCAGCTTCTGGGACACATCCGCCTGCGAGTCCTTCAGCTGCTGCTTCAGGAGGGAAATCTCCCCGGCCTTCTGGCACACCTGGGTAGGGACGGGAGGGAGAAGCCAGGGTGAAGGCAGGGCTCTACTCACCTCACCCAGCCTCCCAGATGCAGCCCCAGGGGTACCACGCTTCTCCAGGGCATCAAGCTGGGCGGAAGGGACACACGAGGCCCCCTCGGACACAGGACATACGTGGCCAACCCCACCCAGCCCAGGGACAGCTCTCTCTGGTCCTCACGGGAACTGCTAATCAACCTTGTGCCCCACCCCCAACTTTCCTTCCCCTGGTGATCAGGCTGGCCCACTGCTCTGGGTTTCTCTGGAGGGACAGAGGGAGGAGGAGACGGGGAGATGGGGAGAAGGCCCAAGCCCCCAACCCGCACCTCCCACTTAGTTTCCTCCATCCGGGGCAGGAAGTCGGCCTGCTCCTTCTGGCAGGCGGCCACCTTGTCCTCGAGCTCTTCCCGTTGTCGCATCAGCCGGGCTGCCTCCTCCTGCAGCTGCTTCTTGTCCTGCTGCAGCCGCAACACCTGCAGCTGCAGGCCCTGCTGAGCGCGCTGGGCGCGGCGGGCCACCTGCTGCAGCTTCCCGCTGCAGCCCTGCCGCAGCTCGGCCAGCTCCCGCTCCCACGCCTTCTGCCGCTCCTCCAGAACCTGGGCCACCGCCACCTCGCTCTGCTCCAGGCTCCGGCGCAGGGCGGCCACCTCCTGCTCCTTCTCCCACAGCCGCTCCTCGAGGTCCTGGATCAGAGCACTGGGCGAGGGTGGTGAGCAGGCCGGAAACGGCAGGCCTCCACCTCCTCCGCCCTCGCCCGCTCCCAGGTGGCCAGACCGCCCCATGGAGGAAGAGGACCCGCTCTTGCTAGAGGCCCGCCCACTGTCAGAGGTGGCCAGGTCCTGGTAGCCCGACCCGCCACCGCTACTGCCCGTGCCACTGCCGCTGCCACTGCCGTAGCTGGCAGTGCCGATGCGGTTAATGTGGCTGGTGGAGGCGCTGAGGGGCGCCACGTGCTGGCTGTAGTTAGAGCTGTAGGTGGGCAGGCTTGTGAGCGAGTTCCGGCCGGAGTCTGAGAGGCTGCCCCCACCCCCGCCCGATGGGGTCATGGTCCGAGACTTGTCCAGTCCACCCTTGAGGCCCCCAGGGCCCTGTCGTCCCTCAGGGGTCCCGCTGGTCTGTGGGGGACACAAGTTCTGCATGGAGTGGAAGTTCTTGGGTACAACAGGCTTGAAGGCGGAAGGCCGAACCAGCGGCTCTGAGCACTGCGTACAAGCAAAGAAGGGAGGGTGGACATCAGGATGGGGCCTTCGCCTTGACCCCAGCCTCTTCCCTTTGGACAAGACTTCCCCCACTTCCCACCCTCGTTGATCTCCATCCCGGGAGTCACCCAGGGATGGGTGTCTACCTTATGGCCCACCCAAGCCAAGTCTTTGTCCTGGACCCACCAGCTGGATTTGGCCCCCACGGCCCACCCTTCAAGTCCAGTCTCCATCCTGGCACCTACAACCACCCAAATAATTCTAAGGAAGTCCACTTCACCGTCCACTCTGAGCTACCTCCCACCCCCAGGAGAGGGCCCTGGGGACTGACCTGGTCTAGCTTGCCAGAGGTGGCCAGGAGCTTAGGTGGGTGGCTGGGCTCGCGATACTGTGGCGGGGCCTTGTCACTGCTGCTGCTGCTGCTGCTGCCACCACTGCTGCCCACCACGTTGCCACAGACGTCCGTGTGGTCGCTGCCCCGCAGCTCGCCGTTGAGGTAGAGGGAGTTGGCGAGAGCCTTGTCCTCAGACGGGTAGCGGCCTGGCCTCTCCCTGCTGGCCCCACTGCCTCCAGCTCGAGGGCCCTGGCTGCCCCCACCCCCTGTGCGGGTGCCCACGCTCTTCATGGCGAACTCCTGGGTGTGGGCCACTCCACTGCCCACGCTGCCCATGGCCAGACGAGGATCTGGGGGTCCGAGCTCAGAGGGCCGTGGGGCAAAGGCCAGGAGGGGATCCCGCCCTGAGTCAGCCCGCACAGGTAGTGTCTCCAGCTTCGCCATGATTGAACCGGGAGAATGGGGGCACTGTGGGCATAGGTGAGAAAGCGGGATCGGTCAGACCACTCCCATGCCCCCTCCACACCACACCACACCCGCCCGGTCAGCCCCAGCACCACCTGTATCCTACCTCTCAGTGTCCCCTTCCCTAAAACAGACACAAGAATTCCCACACGCCCAAGGAGAAGGAACGGGGCTGCGTAGAATGATAACCTTGGTAACGGGAGCTGCATGCTGCCCACCTTACAAAGCCTGAGCCCAGGACACCATTCCCATCCTTCCCTTCCAGATTTGCTCAGCTTTGTATTCCCACTGCTCACCCACACCTCCTCCGTGTGCTTCCCGGACTCAGTGGCCCACTCAGTTCTTTACTGCAACCTTCGCAACGCAGGGTTCTTTACCCCGGGTCTGAACCCCTGCATCCCAACCTCACGGGCAGGGGGATGGGGTTGGAAGGGGCAGCAGAACGTGAATCTCCGAGAGAAGTTAAAGGAAGGAGAGAAACCCACCCCTATCCAAAAACTGTGGGTGGGATCCTAACCTAAGGTGTTGCAGTCCAGGGCAGAAGTGGAGGCTCTAGACCAGCACAGGCTCCTCTCCTGGCCTTTCCAAGGGGGTGGGGGACCGGCAGGCCCTCAAGCCTGGGGCCCCTGGAGGCCAGGTATGCAGGGGTCATGCGCCTCACTCGGGAAGTCGGAGCTCGGCCGGAACCAGCTGAGTGCCTTTGGACAGACCGGCAGAGCCATCCTGGACTGCAGTCTTCTTCCCTGTGAAACGGGAGGAATGAAGGACCTACCTCGCGGAGCTGCCACGTGCCAGGAACCCTCCCTCCCTCCCGCGACAGGCGCAGGAGCAGACTGGGGCGTTGGGGGTCGGGGGCAGCAGCAGCAGCAGCTTTGCAGCGCGCCTCCGGGCCCCCCGGCACGCCCCGGCCCCCGCGGCCAGCCAGGAGCCGCGGCTGCAGCGCGTGGCCAACGAGCCCTCCCAGAGGTCTTTCCACGGGGGCTCCCCGGGGCCAGGCACGGAGGGTCCCCTCCCCGCATCCAGTACCTCGGAGGAGGACCCCAAGCCGGCAGAGGCCGGGGCGGAGAACGCACAGCACAGCCGCTGGCAGCGCCCGCCCGCCGAGCCTCTCGCAGGGCCGGCCTTGCCCACAGGTGGGCGGGCATGGGCGGGGCCTGCGCACCCGGCGGAGCCTGGGAAGATCCCGGGCCGCCGAACCTCCCCAAGAATTCACTGCCTCCGGGAAGACTTCCTGGATTACTCCCCTTCCCCACTCCCTGTGGACCTTGACCCTGCTCAGTGCTCCGTGAAGTCCTCCGCGGCCCTCAGTGGGCGTGCATCCCCACCACCACCACCACCAAGGCCGGCCCCCAGGAACAGGGCCAGCAGGGCCTCGGGTTACCTGCGCTCAGGGAGCCCCTGCTTCCTCGTTCCTTTGTCTCAAGCCCGCACCTGGGAACACCTGCCCCAGAGATCCCAATAATCCAGCCTGGCAGGGCTGCAATTAGTGCCTACCAGCAGTGTAAACACTCAAACGCGCGTGCCAGAGATGGCGGGAGTGTCCTTCAGGCTCTGACGCCCTTACTGCCATCAGAAACCAGGCCAAGAGCACTTCTCTACCAAGGTGAAGGGGTCCAGGTGGCACCCCACAGCCCCTTGAGCATTCCTCAGACTGTCTTCTACCCAGGTGGCCGCTTCTAAGGTTGTGTCCAGCGGAGCCTGACAAAACTGTTGCCCTTCACAGTCTCCTGGCCGCCACACCTGGAATTACAGCCCTAGGTGGTTGGAAAGTTCACCATCAAGCCAGTCCACACTGCTTTTGTGAAATTCCACTCTCTCAGCGCCTGATCCTGAGATCAGCACTGTGGAGAAAAGCACTTTATCACCTACCTCTCTGGGCCAATCTGTCCTGTAGGGCGCAACTGAAGTGCAGGATCAGCAAGTTCAGACCTAGAGAGAGTGGGGACCTCCTTACTTGGGTGCCCCAGGTGCTCGCCTCTCATGCCTCACCCTAGTCCCTGTACACTCCCAGTATACATGAAGCTGGCTACCCCTCAGATCAGTAATCCCCCTCCCATCCCAATCATGACCCCCTTCTCTCACCATCCCTGGTACAGTATAGGGAGCAGCTAAGCAGCTGAGGATGGAGGCTGAGTGGCCTGAGGCTTGGAACCAGCGGGAAGGCCTGGGCAGGATTTGGGAGGAAAAACTGACAAAACTTCATACAGATGGAGTTCAGGGGGTGGGGGCAAGGAAGGATCTGGGTTTGGGGCAACAGGGTGGGCATGACACATTTAACATGATAGGGGGAGAATGGTTGGGGAAAATAGGCTGTAAACTGTAAACTTTGGAGAAGACCAGAGAAAGATCGCTCTCACATATTGGAGAGGAAAGGAGGGAGGGGGGAAGAAGAAGAGAGAGACTGAGCATCATCAGCAATCAAGGATAGTGTGGGTGGGGCCCAGCCACTAGCAAGGATAACAGAGCCTCAGGAGCCTGGGAGACAGTGTAGGAGCAGGAGGAAGGCCAGAAGGCAAGCCCCGCAGAACAAAATGGGGGCTTTCAAGAATGTGGGCGCAGCCCTAACCGGTTTGGCTCAGTGGTAGAGCGTCGGCTTGGGGACTGAAAGGTCACGGGTTCGATTCCGGTCAAGGGCATGTACCTTGGTTGTGGGTATATCCCCAGTAGAGAGTGTGCAGGAGGCAGCTGATCGATGTTTCTAATTCTCTATCCCTATCCCTTCCTCTCTGTAAAAAAATCAATAAAATACATTATTTAAAAAAAAAGAAAAAAGAATGTGGGTGCAATTCTGGTGTTAAAAACGGGCCAGGTAGAATTGGGATTGCAGAGTATGCCTGAGAGAATGGTTTCAGAAAGGTGGTGCAAGGCAAAGCCAGGAGTAGAGGGGTCTGGAGGGAAGGATAGGAGGTTCTCTACTAAAAGAATGTCAAAAAAGGCAGTCATTCAGGTGATTTGAGACCCAAAGGCTTATTTCTGTTTTGGAAATTAAACATGGTAGAAACTTGAGTGTGTTGATATGCTGAAGGAAGTGAGACTGGAGATCTAGGCAAGGGGGCTGCGCCAGAGGCCCGGGTGTGAGCGTGAGCAAACCTCGTCAGTGATCATGTTGATCATGAGAGTGACAGGGGATAGTAATGTTTGGAAAGGTGCTTTGTAAACTCTAAGGTACAATACAAGCATGCAGTTCTACTACCTTCTCTGAGAACCAGGAAACAAGATTCTGACCACAGGTTGGGGTTGGTCATATGCCACTCTGCCCCACCATTTCCCTAGAGTGTGTGGTTCCCAGCCAGACTCAGGTACCCAGAGTTCTGGGTGGAAATGGGGTCTCAGGACTCTCTCCTAAGCCTTTTTAAAAATATACATTTTTAATTGATTTCAGAGAGGAAGGGAGAGGGAGAGATAGAAACATCAATGATGAGAGAGAATCACTGATTGGCTGCCTCCTGCATGCCCCCTACTGGGGGGGGGGTATGTCCAGCCCACAATCCAGGCATATGCCCTTGATCAGAATTGAAGCCAGGACCCTTCAGTCCACAGGCTGAGGCTCTATCCACTGAGCCAAAACAGCTAGGGCTCCTAAGCCTCTTATACTGGTCTTTACCTGGGAATCCTTTCCTGCCAACCCAAAGCGATTCTCCCTCAAGCCTCATTCCCCACAGAGCTTCTTGGCATAACTCTAACCTGCCATGGGCAACCCCATGCAAGCATTCCCTGTCTCTTGCCTATTCCAAGCTTGTTTCCTCAGAACTGCAGCAGGGAGCTGGCAAGATAAGGAGGGCATATGCTTCCCTGATCGGCAGAAACTGAGTTGAGCTTTGCTATGGGTCAGAGTCCTGCACTGGCCCCAATAGCCGAGTATGCAATGGCAACCTTAAGGCTCAACACCCTGGATGACAGCCTGTTGCTCGACTCTACCTCTGTCTCTTTCCACCAACCTCAGTGCCTGGGAAATTCCTTACAGTATTAGCAGTCACAAAGAGCCCAAGTGGATTCTATATGCAGGTTACATGGGCTGATACCTCCAACCCAGTTATCACTGCCCCTCCCTACCTGTTTCCCTCCCAAAACTAGGAACATTCCACCTTCTCTTGGGGTCTCAGAGATCCCAAGCTCGGCCTATTCACCTCCTAAAGATCTCAGCAGCCCTCCTGCCAGCACCCTCGCTGGGGGCTCCGCACTGGCCTCTCTTCCTCTGCCCTCCCTCTCCTGCGCAGCTGCCAGGGGGAATCTCTCTAAAGGGCAGAGCCGATCTTGTCCCTGCTCTGCCCAAATTCTTCCGTGAGCAGCACCAAGCGCAGTAGGCTAGACAGAGTTCTGGAGGCATCGGCTCCAAATATAAATTAGGGGTGGGACTGTGAGCAGCTTATTTCACCTCAGATCCAAACACCTACCTTACAGGAATCTTAAGAAGTGTATGTATGGAAGGTAAAAATGCCTGGCATTCCTCTCAGCCCCCAGAACCGGAGCAGAGCCTGCAGCAGGGCCCCCAAGGCCTCTCCCACCGCACATCCTATTTCCCCTGGTCTGAGCCCCTCTCCACTCCACACACAGTCTCTTCCCAGGTCTCCGAACCCATCTTGCATCCTTCAAGGCCCGATCCAAATGCTGCCTCCCAGGACAGCATCCTGACTGCCATGGCCGGAAGGGGTCTTAGAGCTCTTGGCTCAGGCTACTTCATGGAGATTCCATTCTGAGGCTTCCCCAGTGCTGGCCTGTGGGTGCCCACAGGGCACAGATTGCAAAGTCCTGGGGGGTCCCTGGGCTCTGGCACTGAGGAGATGAAGAGAGAATATGTGTGGGATTGCTAGTGATGAGCAATGCAAAGAGGCAATGAATCCAGACAGGAAAATCAGGAAGGTCTTCTGGGAAGGACTAAGGGAGGAAAGAGATCGGGGGCACTGGAAATCTTTTGGGGGTGCGGAGGTCTCCAGAACTTCTTGGTTGGGATGTGTGAGGGGAGATCCATCTTCCCTTGG